CAAGTGTACTTATTCTGACTGCTGTGCTAAAAAGATCGAATGTTCTGATCACTCAGGCCGTGTGATAGAGATTGTTAATAAAGGAATGCACAGTCATCCACCTCGGAAGAATAACAGCACTAGGGAAAGTAGGAGTGGATTATCTGTTGGGCCTATTTTGCAGACTACTGTGACTGAGCGTACTGTCAGAATGCTCAAGGATTCAGAACCAGTCACATTGTCAATGGAACCTGCACAAGAAACACTGACAGTTTCTGAAAGAAAACGACAGAGTTCAAGCAGCTCAGATGAGAACAAGGAAACTCAAAACAAAGAGGAGGATGTAGGTGAACCTGAGCCAAAACGAAGGCAAGTTTTCCCATCAATTTGGTTTCCACAAATTTTATTTCTTAGTGATGTTAGCACTTCTCACTGTTCTTCTGTAAAGCACTGTTGGAGATTTAATATTTTTTTTTTGCTCATTTCTGACCAGATTGAAGAAGGGAAACTTAGAGTGTTCAAAGGCTGTTTTAAAACCTGGAAAAAAAACTAAATTTGTCGTGCATGCAGCAGGTGACATGGGGATCTCAGGTGATGGATATAGATGGCGGAAGTATGGACAGAAGATGGTGAAGGGAAATCCCCATCCCAGGTTCATGTTTATTTCTTGTTTTTTCTGTGTATTTGTAACAATTTTGATTTAATAAATCAATAAGATATCATTTGACAATGGTACATAAAATACAGTATGATTTTGAATTGCAAAGTTTCAGTTTGTTATCTGTTCTTATAAAATGCAGTGTGGTTTTGATTTGCAAAGTTTTAGTTTGTTGTCTGTTTTTGTTTTTTGCAATGCTCACACTATTAGCTGCTCGGTTGGTTTGATTACATGTTGAACCTTGATAATATCCTTGTTCTTAGCTATCAGACATTTTCATGGACAACATGTGGAAAATTCTAGATGGCATATATGTTGAAGTGCTTTTAGGTTTGGCTGGAGTGAAATTATTTTCCAACCTATAAATGACTAAAGCACTTATGGCCTATAGGGTGTTTCTCATAAAATCATGTTCTCTAGATCTGTATCCGTGCTAGTTACTCCTTGTAACATGACTGGAGCACTTATAATACCAAACAACCAAATGAAGTTGGTAGGGTGTTTTCCGCATTTATTTCAATATAGTTGTAAATAAGGAATTTGGGATTTGTGTTATCTTCTGCATCCCTGCCACCCTGATGGATATCATTGTGCAAATGACATGTTGAGACAGTGCAGTGATTGCCTCTTAAGTTTTGGTGATTCTCTTGCTTCTTCCTTTTTTCTTCCTTTTCTTTTCTCAATGGGGTAGGAGGAACGAGCACTAGGGAGCCTGAAGTTTGCTGGAACTTGAGGATTGGAAGTAGCTTGAGGTCTCTCTCTTGATTATCTGCTGAGTAAAGGGCAGTGGAACTGTATTATGAGCCACTTTCAAATGATAAATTTTGAGGTGAGCTTGATTATTTTCAGGAGCTTGAGGGGGGGGTTGCTTGAAAAGAGAGGGATAAAATTTGATATGTGTTTTTGAAGGTGTGCCTTGTGTGAACAGCTGTTTTTCTGAATTCTGATTGTGGATAGTCAGATGAAGGTATGGCAGACTCTCATGAGGCACTGCTGTTAGTGTAAAGCGGTGGTGACTTGGTTCATTTGGTACTGTCATAATGATAGGCCATCAGAGCTCTGAAAGCTCGGCTTCCTTTTGTGGAGATTGCTAAGATTTGTGCTTTACCTATTCCAGAGGTGGCATGAAAGCTTCAGATGGAACAGTATTCTAATACGGGTAAATTACAATAACCCACCTAGGTATCATGAAATTACACGAACCACCCAAATGTTTGAAGATATGACAGAAACTCCTTATTATACCCAAAATGCCCTTAGTTACTATTTAGAAAAACCAATAGTTGAGGTAAAGGAGTAACTAATGCTTGATGATTCAAAGGGGTGGAGTTGACTTATTCATATTCATGCACTTATGTTTGCACCGTGTATTGTTCCATTTTGTGCAGGTATGTCACTGTTTTCATACTTTGTAAGCACATTCATTCTTGGAAGAAAAAAACTTGGATGTATTTCAGCCCACTCAATCCGATCTTTACAAGATGATAGCATCTTTAGCGTGCTCAAATAACAACTCTATAAGAACCTTAGGGTTTTTGGTCAATGCATGTGGTCTCAGCTATCATTTCATGTAAATGCTAGAGGCGCTTTGTATTGAACTGTTCCAAGAGTCTCAGTTCAGAAAACTCTGAGGGTACTTATTTTTAGTTCAAAATAGATGGTATTTCATATTTGGAAGAATAAAAAAAACCTAATACCTATTCTGGCAACTGAGGTCATTTCAGTGCCATGGTTGTTTCTATGAGAAAATTCAAGCACCAATGTTTCTATGAGAAAATTCAAGCACTAATCTTGCACGTTGACTCAAGTTGGTTTATCAATCAATAACCAGACCAGGACTTGTATACTTGATGGGATTGAGGTTTAACTCTTAACCCCACAACTGCATGTCTTGCAAAGCATGCCATGTGAGTGACTTGTAAAGTAGGGAAACTGCCAGATAGAAACTGGTCCTGTGCTTACTTCCTCTAGATCGTCACTTGTCTATGCCTATTGATATACTTTTGAGTTAGATCCCTGAAAACCACCTTGCTGCACGGGCTTTACAACATTGCTTTTGCATGCGATATCTGTCCCTCTATTTAAATGACTCTTTAGAGCCAATGATTTAAACTCTGTGATCAAGGATTTTTATTGAATCTCGACCTCATTAAATTGAGGGAGTGACTTCCAGAATAATAACCAGCTCAAAAGCCTTACATGATGCATTTCCTTCGGCAATCCGAGTTGTAACTTCAAAATATAAACTGGCTCCTGTATTGAATCATGCTTCTGATTTGTTGCTTGAATGAATTTTACAGGAACTATTATCGATGCACTTCTGCTGGATGTCCTGTCCGAAAGCACATTGAAACAGCAGTAGATAACACGAACGCTGTCATTATAACATATAAGGGAGTACATGACCATGACATGCCTGTACCAAAGAAGCGACATGGCCCACCAAGTGCTCCGCTTCCTGCTGCTGCTGCATCCTCGAGCAGCTTGCCACTTAAGAAAACAGATACATTGCAAAACCAAGTTGCTTCGACCCAGTGGTCGGTGGGCAAAGAAGGCGAATTAACTGGTGAAACCCTTGATCTCGGGGGTGAGAAGGAGGCGGCGATAGAATCAGCTCGGACGCTTCTGAGCATTGGGTTTGAAATCAAACCTTGCTGAAAAGCTGAAAAGATCCTTTCTGTCTAGGTTACAGTATAAAGATTACCAGTGGGCTGCCCTCATTTATATGAAAATCATGTAGCTTTCTTTCACTGTAAATTATCAGGTTTGAGGATGTCTTTTCTCTTTTTCTTCTTCAGTATTTCATCTGTATATTTGGTGTTGTACACCCTCCCGACTCTGAAACAGCCTAATAGTAGAGGAAAACGGAGAATTTGTTGGCATCCGCTTTTCCTTGTCTTGATTGAGACCCCTTTCAATATCTCCATATCTGCGAGCAGCTTTCTCATTTTTTCTGTGGTAGACATCGGATGCTCAAGACAGGTAGAAATTACTAGAAATTCAATATAATGAATTTTTTTTTTTTTTTGTTTAAGATCTGATAGAGGAGAGACTTTGTTTTGATGTACAAAAACTAGCCTGCAGATAGTCTGAAAGAAAACTGCATTTGTAGAAAAAATTGGACAGCTAATATCTGATGCTTGCAAAGAAGATGACTTCAGAATATACACATACAAGAGTGGAGGAGAACTTCAAGGATTTGCAAGAGCAGGCATCCATCAATTATGGTCTCAGTTCTCCTCCTCCCCAGATCGCTAGGATCATATAAAATGATTTGGGGCAAGGAAGATCTCCCAAGTCAGTGTATCCACCAGTCATTATTTTATTTTATTTTATTCAAATCCTGAAACATGCATACCCTACAAGCATGTCTTGCCCTAAGGGGACATCAAATTGTCTCCACTGATCAGCTGAGAGATTTGAGCTGTCACGCAAATTCTGAGGCTGTCCACCCGCAAGATCATGAGCATGAAGCAAGTGTTTGCGGTAGCTCTTTTAAAAAAAAAAATTATAAAAAATATTTGCAGTGAAGGTTGATTTGATAAGATATTTTTAGGTAAAATTATGATTGAAGTTTAGATGAATAAAAGATAATTTAATGTATTTAATTAAAAATATTTTTTAAATTAAGGTCAGTAATAAAATAATTATATATATATATATATATTAATATTGATGATTTTTTTATTAAAATATAGTAGATTTAATTATTATTATATTATAAAATAAATAATATTTTATAAAAATATATTATTATTGTTTCATTAAATTATTTGTAATTTCATCAACGTACAAAATTCATATAAAATTCATATGAAAAAGTTTTTAGTATTCATTGCTCTCTAAGTATACAATAATATCAGCTAAAAATTATTAGAAATGAAATTAAAAATATAATCAAATTCTATAAATATTATATTATCATGTGATCTTCTTTTATAAATATTATGCTATGATATAATTTTTTTATAATATAATTATATAGTATTATTAATATCAATGAATATATTTGGTAAAATCTCCACCTTTGTTTTCATGCTTCAAAGAACATTCTATCAACTTACATATGATTAAATACTTTATTCTAATTTTGTGGTTTTTAGTTGTATTATTATTGTTAATAGCCTCAATAAAAATACATTATTATGGATATTAACTTTCTATCATGCTCATACATGCATGAACGAAATATTAAAATTATAAGCAATCAATATATTTTGTATTGGTACCTTTTTTTTAATAAATAGAACTTGATTGTCGGATGTATGCAATCAATTACAACAACACAATTCTCCTACAAATTACGTTTCCTCTCTTTTTCACAGAAATGATAAATGGTAAACTCTGCTTCCTCATGTCCAAGTTGGGTTCAAAAGATGATTCAGATCACCGGCTATTTCAACTGTACAAAAAATCAACATTAATTTTTCAAGGCTCGCTCGAACAGGCCCCATCTACAGTCCATTCATCTGTTGATTTAATTCGTTTTTAGTAATCTACAATCTAGGAATCCGTAATATGCATTGGAATTCATTAAAATTTATACAAAAAAAAAAAAAAAACATATTCATTGCTGCCCGAAGAACAGCTGAGAATCAGTTACTAGGGTAAACTGCTGTCTGAACATGGTGTTCCAAGTGCCACCTCCATCATTCCGAGGAGAAACTCAATTCATCAATAGCTATGGATAGTTTGGATTCCATGATGTCATCGGTTTTCACATCTTCAGACTTGATGCCGTTTTCTTCTTTCCATTCTGCTGCATCTATACACTCCTGGAATCTGAAGCAGCTAATGAGGTGATCGTTTGTTACCCCGGCTACCTGCATGAACGAGTAGATGACTGTGGGCCCCACAGAGCGGAACCCTCTTCTTACAAGGTCCTTGCTTATCGCATCTGCTTTGGGAGTTTTCACAGGGACCTGTCGCGGATACCGGAATCTGCTAACTATAGGCTTGTAGTTCACAAAGCTCCAAATATACTTGTCAAAGGACCCAAACTCATCAATGACCTGGCATCAACAAAACCTGTAAAAAGTTAATTGCAAATGATAATCATGGCAAATACATGGAGCAAGTAATCATGGCTGACTTCATTAACAAAGTTAAAGGGGTTAATGACTGGAAGTCATCAAGTCAGATAAATCATTTGTAAGCTACCAACCAACCAAGCTGGCATCTTGAAGAAAAGGAATAATTAGGTTGCATGAGCAACTCTTGAGATAAGATAAAGTTAGGTCAAGCTGTTTGGTTGCAATAGTATAGTTTGTCCTATATGGTTCATGCAAATTGCAGGGGAACTCAGGACCACCACGCAACTACTTTTCACCAAACCAAACTGATCGAGTAATCATTAAGCTCACATTATGTGCCATTTAATACTTACAAAAATAAGAGAATATCATGAGCGGTCCCCATTACGACTGCACTGATCTAATTAAGGTAATCAGCACTAGGATATTGAAGCACAAAACGAGCTCTACCAGTTATGATTTTTAACACTCATCTAAACTCAGGGTAACGTCAAAAACCAGGATTAAATTTGGCTTTACTTGGATGGCCAGGCTACTCTTTCTATCTTCCACATATAAGCACAATTTACAGTGTCCTATGTAAACACATCTTTCTGCTATTCAGAATAAATCAATGCTTAAAAAATGAGAATCTACCTTGGATATTTGGCGAGCATTCTCAATGATAGCACGGAGCTTAAGCTCTGATAACAGGGAAGATGCAGTGCTTCCAGGTGCTATGATCTTCTTCTCGTTAAATTTTGAGACTGCAATTGGATCAAAATCTGCAAAAACTTCCCTGCAAATAAAAGTTTTTTATAAACTCTATCTAGCAATACAATTAAGATAAGGAGGAGACTGCAACTAAAAGGACAAATGATGCGGATGGTCAGAGTTCATTAATGAGCATGTTGGTTGCTGTAACATATAGGAACTTGAATAGGCGAAGTACCTAAACATGTGCCTTTTGCTTAGAATAGCAGGCCAGGTAAGTTCAGCCAAAGCACCTGAAAGGACAAGAAGCTCGAACAACTTCCTGCATGCGGACAAAAGTAGCAAACAAATAACAGTTAAAACAGACCATAATATCAGGAAAGACAGATCTTTTAACAAACAGACAGATGCGAACAATATTGCAATTAAATACCTGTCATCATGTACTGGGAGTCCCCATTCTTCATCATGGAAAGCGGTATAACATGGATCTGGTTTCGATATGAAAACCAGTCAGCAATTAAATCCAAAATAAGCATGGCTAAAGCATGTGGACAATGCTATATAGCAAATTGACATGCTTAAATAACACATGACACAACAATTCCTAAGAGACAATTATATGCTTTGATCATTACCTCCATCAAACATGAAATTGAATCCAGTCAATATTTACAAAAGGCAAGTGCACAATGTCTTTCATTTTTTTTTCACAGAAATGATACAAGAAAGCAATTTCAATTTACCAGACTTGTGCATTCCTTTCTAACACCAACATGAAACATTGGATGAGGCATATTATACAACAGCAAGGAAAAGAGAATGAAAAACTGCATAATTTCATTATTTAATCAAAATATGTACTCTTAAGACACGAAACTGAAAGCACAAACATACAGCAAGCATCCATGTTTGTGGAAAAAATTCCAAAAATCACGAAAAATATATGTTCCATATTATCTACTATTAAATAGTTATGGTTGAAAGGAAAAAAGCTTGCAAATCTAAACCAGACAGTCCAAGTCAATAAATCAGCATGATGGAAAGTAAAAATGACTACCTATGGAGCTATAGCCCGATAGTTGCATCAAATTCTTAAAATCTACTACAAAGAGCACTTAGCAAGCTTTACAAATTAGGAGTAGCATCAAATTATATTTGTTATATTAACACAACACTTGTTTAGAACAATCCATAAATAAATCAAGCCCAGTTTTCAGCTGGTTTAACTCAGTTCTTTAGCAATCATAATTGACCTCCAGTTAATAAAATGAGTTCAACTTGGTAATTGAACCAACTTTTATGAGGTTGATTCCAAGAAGAAATCACGGTTAACTGAATGTCTGAACCAAGTTTCAGAAACAACATTTGAGTGAAGCAGTGGAAAGCAGGGCGGCATCATCTATTCAACCAAAACCATCACATATCATAGAAATGTCTCGCCTTGCAATGCAACTCCATATAAGCACTACGAATAGCACTAACTATAGCACTTCCAAAATATGCTTCATTTTGGTGCTGGGAACTTAAAAGGTATGTAAAACAGAACTTCCAATATAAACTACCCAAACCTATTCCACATTCATAGCATTAAACTCAAACGAGATCTCTGGTAAATTTTTTATATGGTTCAGAAAGACAAACTGATAACAGTTAATATATACAGTTTGCAAGGCTCTGCATATTATCAGTGTCACAATTGAACTGTATCTTTCATAAAAAAAGGTGGGGGGGGGGGAATTAAATCAAAGAAGTGAGAACATACCAGTATTTGGTGTCACCCAGGCACAACTTTTCTTGGACTGTAAACCATCAGAAGAAGGTAGAGATTCTAAACCCCCATCAGAAACAACACTTCTTGGCTTTGAAACATACTGCTTCCTTCTAGTCCCTACATTATTTGACCGAATCAACCTCCCAGTAGATGCTCGGCTATGAAATGAATCAGTGGAAGCATCAGATGAACAAGAAGCATTTAGTGACAAATTCGAATGCAACAACTGTTCATGGCGGCGAAGCACTGAAGAAAAATTGCCAGAAAGTGATTTGGGGGACAAATTACCGACAGTGGGGACCGTAAGGACTTTCTTCTCTTCCCCTAATTTAACCTCCTCAGGCGATTTCCCATCCTTTCTTAATTGCTTTGAGGCAGGTTTCCGAGCACTCATCAATGGCCCTGCCTTAGTGTTTCCAGTAGGTCCTAACACAGGCCTGGCCTCAGAGTCAGCCACATTCAATGACCTCACTCTTGGAGCTCCTGACATTGTCCAAACCAACTTCAATTTGACACTGTTTTTCAAGAGATCTTCACCTTGTTCACCTCAAAGCCACCCGAGATTTCCAAATTTATCAAGCTTCTCTCAAATCCTCCTCAAATTAAACACAAGCACCAGAAACCCACCAAGAGAATTCACTAAGACCCCATTTTGCAAAATAACTGACTCTCCAACCAGCACAAAACGCTTAAATATCACAAACCCATTACAGCTATCCACCTCCAGTACCCTCATTCACCAGCCAAACCCTGAAGCTCCCAAAAAATATCTTACCTTTTCAACAAATTTACACTTCAACCACCACTAGGGCTCACTCCACTGAACCTCAAATAAAAACACAAAAATCCCTGAACTTTTTCCCTCAAATCAGCCCCAATTACTCACTTTTAAAAGCAACCCACTTCCAAACACACCAAAATAACTACAACTATTCATCAAAGACAGGATTTTTATACACTACAAGAAGAAAAAAATCACAGTAAACTACAAAAGGTCCTCCATTGTATATTCAAAATAAGCCTCGAAACACAATGATTCCATTCTGCATTGTTAAAAACGAGATGGAAAGAGAGAGAAAGGTACTGTTACCTCCTTAAAAAAGGTAAGGTTTTTAAACTGTGTCGTTTCAGTCAATCGAACACCGCCACATGGTAAATAAAGCTGACACATTTCTCTGCACTACTTGGAATTTTCATTTTCTTCCTTTTTTTGTTTTGTTTTTTCTTGAGAAAAATGGAAGGGAAAATTGCAGAGAAAATGTGATCTATTATGGAAGAGAATTGAATTCTCTCTATTTCTAGAGATCGAAAGAGAGAGCGAATGAGTGAGAGGGAGAAAGAGAAGATTGGGGTTCTTGGTTGAGTGAGGGAGTGATGTTGACTGGGACAGTCGGTTTAGAGCTGTAATTTACTTGCTGTCTCCGGTTTTTATCTTATGCTTTTCTTGTGTCTCACACTAGATTAAAAAAAAAATTGAAAAGCATGTCAAAGATCACCATTGTTCATTCAATTGATATTTATTAAAAAAAAATATTTTATTTTATTGTATTTATATTTTTTTAATAAATAGATAGATGAGTATTTTAAAAGGTTAGTTTAAACATTAATTAAGAGGGATTAGTCTCTAATTTATTATTATATAATTTTTAAAGATTGAATTTATTTGAAATTTACTTTTTAATATTCAAATGGTTCAATACATAATATTTCATTAAAATTTTTTAAATTAATCTCAATTCAAACAACCCGTAAAAAACTTAAAATGCTAAGTACTAACAATGTATTAAGTGGAGTTTCTATGTATTTTGATTTTTCAAGATTGCAAATTAAATCTTTGATCAAGTTTAAAAAAAAAACTATTTATCTATCTATATAATTTATGAGAATTGAAATGTTAATAGAAAAAAAAAAGAAAAAAAAAGTGATATGCAAAAATATCAAGATTAACTAACCATTAACCATCATATAGAATTAATTATATTATAATACATATAATATGACTAGATACATGATCCTTTATGATACTCTCATTTATTTAATTTGAAGTATTATAGTGATAAGATAAATTGAAGTTGAGATAAATGATTTCACTAATAAATGGTAAAATATACATGAAAAAAAAAGAGAGTAGTAATGTCCTTGCATAGACAAGGAAGTCATTACATTACTTTTTTTTTTTAATGAGTATATTATAAAGTTAGATTGGATTATGATACATCTAAATTTAACAGACCTAAAAGATCCTGAGGATTCACCTCTCTTGGGCTCATAAAAAGGAATGACTTGCCTCCCTTACGTCAAGCTTAGAGAAAAATTGAGCTTTAATGGACTCATCTACATTTTATATTGCTATCCTTACACCTTTAAGTGTATGAAAAATCTCTCAATAACCTACCATATTTTCATCACATTAATGTTTGTGTAAGATATTTTTATTCTTCATTACATTTTATCAAGGCAAGAATACACTTCAGCCCGTTTTCTTCATTAAATAACAAGATTCATAGGTTGTAAATACCTCATGAATCCTTTAAGATATAGGTTCACATTCTTCATTCTCTGCTGCATACATATTTTCAAAGCATATCTTTATATAATATTATTATATTTTTTCTTTCTAAAAATATACTTACTTAAGTATTTGAGAACTCCAAATCTATATATATATATATATAAGACTTTTTGCAACTATTAATCAACAATCACCTTGTCCTATCAGCCATTTTGGCTAGGAAGAATAAATCAAATTGCTATAATCAAGATATTAACCGATTATCCAATAAGTCTTACTCTAAAGCTACCTGGATTTGTTTAGGACATCATCATTGGCGTCGTTTATGGAAACTGATAAAAAATTCATTAATTTTTAAAACTTGTTTTTGATATTTTTAGGTCATTTCATAACTCTACAACCTTCCAAAAATAGGATGAATTTAGTATCTCTAGTGCGATTGCATAATTTACTTTAGAATGGATCAACTTGGTTTTTATCGTGTAATTGCACAACTATTCAAAGATGAGATTGACAAGAAAGCTCTCTAGGGTAACAAACCCACAACCTTTAAAGGATGAGATAAACTTAGTCTCCTTAGTGCTATTGCACAATTTAACTTGAAAAGGGTTAACTCGATCTTCCTGGTACGATTGCATAATTTACCTTGGAAAGGATGAATCTGAAGCCTCTCTAGTACGATTGCATAACTTTTCAATTATAAGATTGACATGACAACTCTATAATATAGTAGCATTATTCTTCAAAAGATGCCTTAATGTCTCTAACCAATTTATTAATGGTTGATCTCGGATCCTCCATTCTCTAATCTTAGACTAATATATTCTTCAAGTGAGGTAAAAGGGCTTTTTATTAATTTGCAAAGGGTTGATCTCAGATCCTTTATTCTTTAGTACAGTTTTGAATTGACATATTCTCCTAATGATGCCTAAAAGCCTCTTACCCATTCGTCATGAGTTGATTTTGGATCCTCTATTCTCTAGTCTCGGATTAACATAGTCTCTAAATAATACTAAAGGGCCTCTCACCAATTCATCAAGGATTGATCTTAAACCTCTAGCCTCTCCAATGTAATCTCAATTGTCACCACTTTTCAACGGGGGGCTCTTATGCCATATGTCATCCTAGGAAGGTTATATACCTTTCACAATACATTGACCACTCCTTAATAGAGGGCTCTTATGCCTCATGTCATCTTAAAGAGGTCACATACCTCCTACACTCTAATGCCATATCTCTTATTGAAAGTGAATTGACTTGGTCTTTCTAACGCAGTAGCATCACTCTCCTTTAAAAGGACTGATTTGGTCTCCTTGGTGCAGTAGCATAACTCTCATAGGAATGGATTGATCAAGGATATCCCTAATGTAATAACACAACTCTTTAAGAAAGAGATTGACTTGGTCTCATTAGTATAATAATATCACCCTCAATGGGTTTCCTTCAACCTCTGATAAATTTACTAAGTATGCTCTTCATTCTTTAATAGAGGTTAAGTTCCTCCAAAGAGAGTTCCCTTAAAAGGAGTTAAGTTTCTCTAATGAGAGTTTCTTTAATGAGATTTTCTACAACGAGCTCAAGGATGAGAGTTCTTTTAAAGAAATTTTTCTAAAAGGAGTTAAGTTCCTCTAAATGGAGTCTAAATAGAGTTCCTTCAATAAGTTCAAAGATGAGAGTTCCTCCACTAGGAATTACTCCAAAGAGTATTCTTTTAAAGAGAGTTGAGTTCCTCTAACAAAAGTTTCTCTAATGAGAGTTTCTTTAAAAGGGGTTGAGTTTCTCCAAATAGAGTTTTTCCAATGAGTTCAGAAATGAGAGTTCTTTCAAATAGAGTTCCTTTAATGATTTCAAAGATAAGAGTTCATCCAAATAGATTTTCTTCAAAGGGAGTTCCTTTAATGAGTTCAAATATGAGAGTTTCTCCAATGAGTTTAGATATAAAAGTTCCTTCAATGGGAGTTGAGTTCTTCCAAACAAAGTTCCTTCAAAGGGAGTTCCTCTAATGAGTTTAAAGATAAGAGTTCCTCTAATGAATTTAGAGACGAGAGTTCCTCCAATAGGAGTTTCTTCAAATTGAGTTCTTTCAATGAGTTTGGAATGAGAGTTCCTTCAAAAAAAGTTCCTCCAATAAGTTTAGAGATTGGAGTTTCTTTAATGGGTTCCCCTCAACAACTTAGAAATATTTCTAAGTACAAGCTCCTTCTCCATAAGTTTTTCTACCTATTAGATTTTTTGTTTAAATATGTATTCCTTTATTATTTCACATTACGCTCCTAGAAAATGTTCTAATTATAAGTTCCTCTATGGTTCCCCTTTACATGCTTAGAAATTCTTTTTTTATATATAAATATGGTGCACGCCCCTATATACGAGTTTTTTGGTAAATTATTTTGGGTTTCCACCCTTCTTCTCATACAAAGAAAATCAATAAACTCGTTATATAGGGTATTTTTACAACTCTTTATGTATAAATATAATAAAAACTTGGGGACTATTAATAAACCTAAATTTAATTGGACTGAAAGACCTCGAGGATCCACATTCCATGGGCTCAACCAAAAGAGGGAACCGTCTTCCTTGGGCTTGTCCAAAAAAAGGACTAACCTCTCTTAGGCTCAACCAAGAAAAAAACCCACCTTTCTTGGGTTTAGCCTAGGAGAAGAGCTCAGCCTTTATGAACTCAATTATATTTTGTATCTTACTCTCTCTACATCCCTACGTGTATGAAAGATCTTCTAAGGGTCTGCCATATTTACATCGCATTAATGTCTAGGTAAGAAATTTTTATCCCTAATTAAATTTTATCAAAGCAAGACTACACTCCTATCTTCTCCTCTTCATAAAAAATGAAAAAAGATTCATGGGTTATAAATACCCTATGAATCCTTCAAGCTCCAAGTTCACAGTTTTCATTTTCTATTACACACACACACACACACACACACACACACACACACACATATATATGTATTCCATCTTTCTATAATATTATTGTACTTTTTTTTCTCTAGAAAGATATTTACTTAAGTATTTGGAAGTCCCTAAATCTATAAAATGAGACCTTTTATAGGTATCAATCACAGTCATATTGACTAGGGAGAATGGATTAGATTGCTAGAACCAAGAGAATGATTGATCATCTAACACATAAACCTTACTTCTAAACTACTTGAATTTTTTGGACATTATAATATTATTATGTCTTAAATAATTAAGACTTTTTGAAGAAAAAAATTATACAAAGTGAAGTATAACGTCTACCACATGAAACTTTTATGTAGGGGTGAGCAAAAAATATGAAAAAATAATTAAATCGAGAAAACAAAAAAATAACTAAAAAACCTGAATCATAAAAAAATAATTAAACCAATTAGAAAAATTAAAAAAATTAAAAAAACAACTTGATACCAATTAAAAAAATTAAAAAAACAACTTGATTTGGTTTGATTTCGGTTTTAAAGGCTGAAATCAAATAAATCAAACCGGTTCAAATATAAATAAAACTAAGACCCCGGTGGTACTATAAATACCTTTCTTCCATTTACTTTTTAGTTTTTTCTCTAAACCCTAGCAAACCTCAATTGCCCTCATTGCACAACCTACTGCTAAAGAGTAAAGAGGAGAGTCCATATATTAAACAAACTAAAAACAGCCCTAGAGCCCCCCTCTTCATCTCTCATTACTCAATCTTTCTGTCCCTTTCTTATCTCTTTGTGGATTAAACATCCAAACAGTACTCGTGGAACCCCCCTCAATTCAATCTTTATGACATTTGCGGAGGTGCTGCCTAGTGATAAATCACTTATGGCACACAAAATATTCTTATCGCTTAGATCTCTCTTAGATGAAGATTTATTATATTGACTTTTAACTTCTTCTTTTTTTATTTTTGTAGATCTATTATATATTTATTTTTCATATTTATTTATGAGATTGTTGGTTTGCCATTTATGTTGCAACTACTGTCACGGATATTGTGAGAAATGAGAATTATTTTTTTCTAGATCTTCATTTGATACTTGTTTTATCTAGCTTCTTTATTTTTAATATTAGAAAAACCTGCTCAATATGTTTGGCTAAGATAAAATTGGTTTTTCCCGGTTTTTCCTTTCAATTAACCGAACCAAACTGAAACTGGTCGGTTTGAACCAGTTTTGGTTCAGTTTTGATTTTTTTTAAAAAATAATTTGGTTATTTTTTAAATGAAAACTAGACCGGATTGAACTAAAAATGCTCACCTTTATTTTTATATTTTTATGTGTATATATATAACACTTGTTATTATTGTATATCATTTAACATTATTGTAGATTATTCATACCTTATTTGAGTGAAGTATATATGCGATTATTTAACGATAATGAATGAGATTATTTCATTTCTGGGAATTAATTTGAAGATTTAGTTGATCTTTTAAATCACATCCTCTTCAAAAACAACAATATGAAATTAGGAATTTAGGAAAGCCCCACCTGCCCATGTGACAAACTGAAATATATCTACTCTGTGAGTCCTTTTGGTTCTACTAGGGCTTTGATGCAGATATTTATTAAAATTTGGATTGATCTTTCACTTTATTGGCCAACAAACCAACAACGCTAACAATTCCTTTCTTTTGCCGTGCCGAACTTTTATAAAGATGTGAGTGCACGATCAGGAAGCTGGCGAGGTCTATCTATTTCTGTCCATTGCAACTTCCCAAAAGGAAACAGCTTCAACATGCCTTTCGCTGATCCAAGAAAAGCATTACTAAGGTGAGCTATCTTCTCTAAATGTCTTGTCACCGCAACTTTCTAGTAGGCTTTTAGACTGATGTTGCAGGCTAAGCATCAAACTCCAAATAGTAAAAGCCAAAAGCGAGTCAAGGGAGTCAAGCGTGCCGCAAGAACTTTTGGACTGAAGTTGATCAATGATTTCGTAGTCATGCCAGAGTAGCTATACAGTAGTGCTTAGCAATCAAGAGAGGAATAAAATGGCAATGGGTCGCTTTTTGGCAACCAATTTACATCTGCATGCCTTCAGATTTTTTGCCAAATCTATATGAAGTGATCGCACTTGAGATTTTACCCTCACTACCTGCTAAATGATTACTGTCAAATATATGTTTTTTTTTTTTATTAAAGTAGATGTGCAGGTCAACTTCCACACATCTCAAATCCTAAAATTAATAACAACGTACATCTCCGGTCACCATATCAATTGAGACATGGAAACGTGGATGTCCCGGGACAGGCAGATGTAGCAAGGACAACGTGGATTTCACGGGTCATGCAGATGCAGCAAGGACAGCGTGGTCAACTAATCTCCTGTGAACAGTGTACCCTGCCATACTCATCCAGTTAATCAACGTTAAATTCAGTGACGAGGCAAGTTAGTAAAAGAAAGGGAAGATCAGTGAAGATCGTGAGTGCCGCAGTCTTCACTTCCCAAGTGAGGGAAGTGAAAAGAAGAGTGACATGTTTCATCTTCACATGCAGGAGATGCTTTGGATTATCAAGTTAGGGAAGTGAAGAGAAGAGTGATAGGTTCCATCTTCACATGCAGGAGATGCTTTGGATCCGCAGACTGCAGCTTGATCATTGGCATATCCCGTTCGGGGGTCGTTATAATGCTGGAATCAACAAATTTGAATACCAGCTCGCATTATACACTTTCCGGCCATATCTCAGAGCAATTAGCATAAAGAGAGGTATTACAGTCATTGTATGTGAATCAGCGAATAGAAATGGGCATGTGTCGTGAAATGCAAGGCTGATCTTTGATTGTGAGGGCTCTTGTTTTCTAACATGAATGAATTTTTGCCTTCAAAATTCAAATGCTAAAGTGGAGCTCAGACTCTTTCCCCTTCCCCCTTCCCCCCCAGCATATTCCAAGGCAAACACGGACAACGCACATAACCAGAAGAGAGAAAGGCAGGCTAAACAAAGACAATTGAATTAGCATCAAGCAGTTCTTCAGACATCTTTGAAACAAGCTCAAGTCAGACAAATTTAGAGTGCATAGTAAAACTTGCTAGACCAATATCTGATTCTTGAAAACTGAAGAAACAATTTTTAATGCTTATCCGAAACAGAGTTGCAACTGGCAATAAAACCAACCAACCACCTTCCCTGTTATCCCAGAAACAGTTATAAGATCCGGAAACTGCATCTGCAAGCATATCAAATAAAACACAATAAAAGAATTAGTAAACTCATGAATTAGCAGTAGCAAGGCAAATGTGTGATGATCGATATATAGGCACACATGTCCAAAATAACTTAGCTACAGCAGTTCTGAGCATGGCCGTTAGAATCTTACGATTAATTCGAATCTTACAATTCATCTTGATTCACATTCAAAACAATGCTAAACACGGGTTATATCTCAAGTGCACGTGAATCTTGTGAATCAGTCATGATTCAATTCAGTACGATTCATTGCTTTTTAAAAGAGATGGGAAGAACAGGAAGCTTTCTTCTAGAAATCAAGGATGACAAAAACATATGAGCAATTTTCTTTAACTAATATGTCTACTTGAAACTGGAACAGATTATAAATTAATTTTTCACAAAGAAAGAAAAGGGTGAAAGAAAGCAAGGGTCTCAAAGACCACAAGAATGACAAGGGTGATATCAACATTGGGAAAGATTATTTAAACTAGGAAATTTAGCAGTATGCTAGTTAGAACGTAGATTTAGATGTATTTCTAAGTTATTGAGTTGTTAGAATGATCAAGAACCGATGAATAATATGTTGAATTTTGAGGCTGGGTTGTTTAATGACCAGGAACTAATAAATTAAATGAATTGATGCACATTTTGTTTAGTAAATGATCATTTTTAACTTTATTTGGTAATGCTAGTTATCTTTTATTGTACTGTTTTCATTTGTTAATGAATCTTATGATTCATGATTCCAAAGATGGGCTTTCCGATTTAGGAGTCGAATCTCAATTTAACAGCCATGATTCTAAGCAACACACAACTTAAGCAGTGGCAATCCCCTCCTGCCGTATCAAAATTTGGCACCAATAAGATAGAGAGCTGAGTTGATATGGGGAAAAAACCAAAAAAAGAACAAAAGTAGGGAAAGGAAACCTAGTATAGTCCCAACAGCTAGACTTCGCAATTAGTTTAAAAACATCATAAGAACTCTTTAGGGAGCCTTGAAAGAAGCTTCTCTTTCCATCTAAACCTAGACAAGCCCAACCAGATTTATAAAAGGATGATTTATTGGTTGTGACTTGTGACAATATATGCCTTCAAAGAATGCAATAACCCAATTTGAAGACCTGCTTGGGGTATTCCAAGAAGTTCCATACGAGTATGTTTTTACTTGCTAGACCACCAGTGAAAAAAGCAACCAGTATGCAAAAGACAATTAAGAAAAACACAACCGGTGTTCCCAAGAATTATTAAAGCCATCTAATAATATTTCAAAAGAAGCATACAAAAAAAAAAAAAAAAGCATGCATGAAATTTTTTATGGTCAATCTAACAAGGTTACAGATTAAGTATATCCCAGCATTAAGTATATCCCAGCATTACCATCCTCAGCACCTCATTCTCATCTGAATCATTTTCTGCCATCACCCCCACCCCCCTTTTCATACATACATTGAAATCCATATTTTTTAAGGATGTCATGTTCCAGAATTTGCAATATTATCACCTTTTTTAGGACACCTTTTCCACAAACTAATCTAAATCGTATGTAGACTACAAGCAACAAATAAAAAATAACAACAAAAAAAAAACCTGCTAAGAGTACTATACACAAGAACTCAGGCTAGTACGATTTTTCATCTTGGTGGTGGTAGTAGTAGCACATACCAATAGTTTTAGTAAAGGGAAAGCTTTGTTGGATAGAACTCATTAAAAACAAGGACTCAATCATGAATTGCGTGGAATTGTACGAAAAGAAGAAAATGAAAGGCAGACATACCCCAGAAGACCCCTGCCAGGCCACACTCTAGGAGTCAGTGATAAGTTGATGGGAGCACCTTGCCTCATAACTATCACTGGTACTGCATGACCCTGATTTGCCTGAGCCTCAGACGCAAGCTTTTGCAAAAGATTCTCACCAACTTGATATTCCACAGTACCAAATTTAACAAGTTGATCTCCAAGTTGCAGACCATCCTCTGCTGTTGGGGATGCATCAGCAATTTCATCAACCACAGCAAAGGGTATGCTAGCCATCATGTCCACATCCATGGAACTGGGAGAATCTCTAAGAACAACATTGTGGGAAGTTGCAGATGGAACAGCATTGCCAGCCACTGAGTTTTGATTATTTGACACCCCATCATTTCCATGCAAGTGAGGAAGAACAAGTCAGTCAACTTATCACAGAGAAGAAGCCAATCTCTTGTTGAGATATAGCATAAGTATTTCTATCTTGAAGTATAGAAGTTAAGCAGAGATAATTGGCTCGTGGGAGACATATAAACTCTATTATAGATATGAACAGGAAGCGATCAAAGATGACTGCCAACAGAAAATGTGTCATCATTCAATACAAACGAAGCAAGTATTCGTATTGCAAGTCCACGCCCAACATGCAATGATAACTGAGAGAACATATGAGCAAATAACATTTTTACATATCTACGTACCTGAATCTTTGGTTGCAAGCCTGGCTGAATGAAGAACTTGAATATTCTCATTTATTTTCTCTGTAATCTCCTTATGATCATTCCGCAGCTCTATTGATACAAAACACACAAAAAAAACTACAGAGATTGAAGTAAACAAATATATATAAGGGAAAGGGAAAGGGAAAGGGAAAGGGAAGGGAAATACCAGCAAGTCGGTGTCGTTCAGCTCTAACGACTGGGATATCAATATCCGACCGAGGAAAACCCTAGAATTTTTTTTAAGAAATAAATTAAAACCAAAAATACTCGGCAAATCTTAACAGCCACGGATACATAAAACCCTAAAGAAGAAGAAGAAGAAGAAGAAGAGAATTTATGTGCCTCAGAATCGACGAGGTTGCCGGAGAGACCAGGACCGCCAGGCTGACAGAGGCGGGGGGGGGGGGGGAGAGGCGGTCGATGATGACATTCATCTCAGTTTCCAAAGCACTTCTCTTCTCCATCAGTTTAATTGTTTCTGCTTTCAAGTTCGCTCCCACCATTTCCTTTTCTTTTTGAGTCTCCTTTTTGGAGGAGGATAAGAAGAAGAAAGAAATTCAAAATTTGTGATGAGTCTTTGAATTTGTTCGTTCTGTACTGGGATGGGATGGCCTCTAATGCCTGCTTGGGATTTTTTCAGTAACGACATGTCATTTGCTTCATAAGCCTACAGTCCTTGCATCGTGCCACCTTCTTGTTCACTGTCGTTGGCTGATTAATTTCCATTTATGTCCTTCGAAATTTAAATTTAGCTGCCTATTTAGGAAAATGTTGAGTTGTGTTTTCTTGTGATTACTGTAAAGATGACGATTTGATGACGATTTGTGTGTGCGTCTGTGTAAAACAATTTTGAGGGAATAATTAACAAAAAAAAAAACTCTATCACGACCAAGAAAACATAGTGCAACTACACTTGGTCTACTATTCATTAATATAATAGTTTTTTTTTTATCACTGTAAGAAAAAAATTGAAATGTTTGGTGTTCATGTAATTTGAACTTTTTACATGGTATATTGGCTATTAAAAAATTGTCTGTGGTTCTAAATCTTTTCTATTTTTTTTTTAAATAACATAATTGAATTATTCTCCAAGTAGAAAATATAAAATTATTAACCAAGGTTTTGAGTTTCCTTGAATGATATATTATTCTTTTTGTTTTTTTAAAAAATAGGCTTATTGGTTTAGCTTTGTAATTCAAGACATGCATAGTACAATTTTTTAAGATAAAGTACATTCATGATGGACTCTCTTGCCCTTCTCTATATTTCTTCTTTGAAGAAATATATATTTAAAAATAATTTAATTATAATTATATTTTAAAATTATACAATGATATTATATTTTTTAAATAACATTAGAGGTTTTTAGAGTAATGTTAGCAATTATTAAAAATATATATTTAAAAATAATTCAATTATAATTATATTTTAAAATTATATAATGGTATTATATTTTTTAAATAACATCATAGGTTTTTAGAGTAATGTTAGCAATTATTTTATGAAAAATTTTATATATAAACCTATATATTTTTAATTTCTAGTTTGAGAGAGAGATCACTAGATTCTAGTTTTAGAGAGAGAAAATTAGTTTTGATACCAATTCTAACTACTAAAATTATTGGCATGGTGTCAACAGGTTCCATTTATTTAGAAGAGTTTCTCTTAGGTGTTTTTTTATCTCAAAATTATCTTGTCAACAGGTTCCATTTATTTAGAAGAGTTTCTCTTAGGTGTTTTTTTTATTTTAAAATTGCCTAAAAAACCAGATCTAAACTCAGAAATATTTTCATTTCAGGTTTTTGTATGTGTATGTATATTTTTTAAGGTCATTTATGTGCTTGTTAAGGTGTTAAGATTCTTTTCTAGTTATTTTGAGTCAAAAATAGCTTTTTGGTAAGAAAAACATGGATTTTATTTTTTCAATTACTATAGTAGTTGGAATTTAGAAAAAACCAGGTGACACATCATCTAAAATTTTTGTTTTAAAAAAACATTAGATCGGATGATATATTACCTATTCTAATTGAGTTTTTTTTTTAAATAGGGTTTGCCCGCGAGCCTTTCTAAATCAATCAGGCCTAGCAAATGCTTGGCTTTATTTTTTTGTTTTTTATTATTTTTTCTTTTAAAAAATTATTTTTTATATGTGTTTTTTAAATAAGTTTTAAATTTATATTTAAATTAATACCACTTCTTTATGATTTGTTATTTTTTTTATTTATCTCTTTTTAAATAGTGGTTGTTTTTTATTATTTTATTTGTATTTAATTTTTCAAGAGGTTATTCTAATTTGTCTATAATTTTTTTATGTTCTGTATAATTGAGATTTATTTTTAAAGATTAAAAATATTTTTTTTTGAATAGAATATGTAATCGGTGCAACCTTGCATGATCTTTTTTTTCTTTGATTTTATTCAATTAATTTTATATATGTCTATTTCTACTATTATTTAATAAAATAAAAAATATTTTAATTAACAAAGTCATTGAACATTGTCGGGTAAATGACTAGTATTGTGAAATTATATATATGTATCTATTTCTATCTCTTAACTTTTTCAGATATATATTTAATTATTATTAATAATTATTTTTAATTTTTTAATATAGATAGTTGTGGATTTCATGAGAAATACACATGTAAATTACCATGTGGTTATGTCATATTACATATAGCAGCTAGAAATCATAGAAAATAATAAATCTTTTATCCTTTTGTCTCGTTTTCACTTTTTTATTTGTAATAAAAGTATAGTCTCCAAGCCCACTAACAAACCAACCATAAAAACAACAAGTGGAAGATGTTATAGAAAAAGAAGGCTATAAGGTCATTGTTGTCGAGACTTGTGATGAAAATGATCACCACAACACTAAAATTTTGATCTCTCCAGAACAATCCCAGCAACATTAACAACAAAATGGTGGTGTTAAGTTTAAATGGCCTAGCATGGTTGAAAAGAAAAAGAAAAATATCGAATAAGCAACATATTAGCAAAGGCATTTATCATCATTTGAGGGGTGAGAAACATTACCCTTCAAAGCTTTTGTGTGATACACCAGAGAACTATACACATAAGATGGCAAAAGCTCTACATAAGGCCACATACAAGGTTTTTAAGGTGGTACATAACATGGTGGATAAAAAGAAAGAAATGGGTCATAAGGTCAAGGAGAAAGTGAAAAAAGCAAAAGAAAACAGAAAGCACCCGCAAGTTCATGTAAAAATATAATTGATTTTTATGAATGAGTAATATCAATTTAAATATTACGGTTATGAAATATAATATTTAAACCATCATAATATCATTTTAATATAACAGTTCTTAATAACAACATATAAAAATATATTATTTTATTATGTGTTATTTTATCAAAAATTAAAAATAATTGTGATAATCTTTTATAAAAAAAGTCAACACGGCAAGGACTTTAGCTTGAAACAAGGAATACAATATGGAATTTATCCTCTAAAAATTATCTATCACTAGCCAACCGAAGCAAGAGCCATGCCTCTTATCAAATACAATTGGTCGGTCAGCACATGCCTCTATCAAATACAAGTGGTCGGTCAGCACACTAAGCTGGTGTCAATGCACCATTAAACAGTGTACTTGAGATAGCGATGTAACTATCATTTTATAAATTTTTATTTTTTTAAAAAAATTATTTTAAAAAATAAGTATGAAAATTAAAAATATTATTTTAAAATAAAAAATACTTTAAAGTATATCTGTCTAATTTTTTGACGGATGGATTCAGTATAAATAGATAGAGAAACCGAAACCGAAAAATGGCCGTTATTGTAGTATCCTTGGCCACCTCTCTTACTGCTGTTGTTGTCCGATCATCTTTCTCCTCTTCCCCGTCCTTGTTTCTCACGAAGTTGAAGTCAGCTCCTTGTCTTAGATTCACCTTTTCAGTTTCACCCTTTGATTCTTACAGAAGACGAGGAGTCAAACTCATGGCTCACTCAGCTCGTGCCACTCTTGGCCTTACTCAGCCTGCTAACATCGATGTCCCTAAGGTCAATCTCTTGTAATTTCCCCTAAAAGAATAAACCCCACATTTTGTTTCTTTGTATATTGTGTTTAGATTATCAAGATTATTGATTTTTGATTATGGTTATAAGTTTTAAAGTCAATAATAGATTTGTCTGTTTCTTTTTGCGGCTGGAATGTTTTATTTACTTTTGTTAATGGTTCTTGTTTTTAAAGCCAACTATAGATTTGCATGTCCTTCTACATCTATATGAGTAATAGTGGTTGAAACCAATCTGTGATTTTGTTTTTGTTTCGCATAAAGTTATAGTTTTGATTGATCATCAAGGGTTGAAATTCTAATCATACTGTTTTTCGTTGGTGGGTTTTCATTTCTTTTCTTTCAAACCTCCTTGATTTCGCGTCTCTACGTGTGATTTATGCCTTAAAGCTGTGACAAATACATGCGACCTGATTGGTGTTTTCCCCTGCCGATAAGTGCTTTGATCAAATATTAATTGGTGAAGTTTGTGATTATTTGCATTTTGATTGTTGTTTATTGGGTACTAAAAAGATGGATCGTGTGTTTGTGTAATTCTTGACAGATTGCTTTTTCTGCAAAAGAAATTGACGTGGCAGAATGGAAAGGGGATATACTTGCGGTTGGTGTTACAGAGAAAGATATGGCCATGGATGACAGCAAGAAGTTCGACAACTCTCTTTTGAAAAAGCTAGATGCTAAGCTGGGTGGTCAATTAAGTGAAGCCTCTTCTGAGGAGGATTTCACAGGAAAACCTGGCCAGTCATTGGTTCTTAGACTTCCAGGTCTTGGTTCCAAAAGAATCGGCTTGATTGGCCTTGGACAGTCTGCAACAAACACATATAATTTTCGAAATTTTGGTGAGGCCATTGCGGCTGCTGCTAAGACTGCTCAAGCCAGTGATGTTGGCATTGTGTTTGCTTCAACTGGAAGCATCTCGAATGAATCAAAACTTAATACTGCTTCGGCGATAGTATCTGGTACTTGTATTAGGAATTGATGGTATTGTGTGGATTGAGTGTTTCAACTTTTGGAAATAATTTATGTTGAATGGTTTATACTGTGACAGGGACTGTGCTGGGGACATATGAAGATAATAGGTATAAGTCGGATTCAAAGAAACCTGTGCTTAAATCTGTGGATATTCTTGGTCTTGGAACTGGACCTGAGCTAGCGAAGAAGCTCAAATATGCTGAAGATGTTTCTTCTGCTGTAATTTTTGGAAAAGAGCTTGTCAATTCACCTGCCAATGTACTCACCCCTGGTTTGTACCAGCTTCCCCTTAAGGCTGGCATGCATAATGCAATAATTAGAATTACAACCTGACCTACTTCCTGTGTCTGAACTAATATTTTAATGGGCCGTAGTTCATATTTCTATCCCAAGACATAGGTATGCACCCATAATATGTATATGTGTGTACATGTTTAATTGTGTGCAATGACTTCTATATTTCAGCTGTTCTGGCAGAAGAAGCGTCAAAGATTGCTTCCACATACAGCGATGTTCTTTCTGCTACCATCTTGAGTGCAGAGCAGTGCATAGAGTTGAAAATGGGATCCTATTTAGGTGTTGCTGCAGCTTCTGAAAATCCTCCCCATTTCATCCATTTGTGTTATAAGCCTTCAAGTGGACCTGTTA